CGACTGTGTTTTCCAAGTCATCCAAGTCATGGGCCTTTATAAAATCCTATGAAAAATAAATACATGAGTAAAATTTCCCTTGACATACTAAATAACAGCTGTTTCAAAATAGTGATCCAACATTCAAGGAGACAGTAATGCCGTGTTGTGTGTGTACATAGCTCTTCTCACCCGTCTGGGTAAGTGCCAGTCCCAGCAGGGTTGCCAGCAGGCTCAATCCAGCCTCAGCCTTGGTATACACATGGCAGATATTCAGTAGTCTCTGCATTCCAAATATAGAAAACAGGATTTCTGAACCGCTAGAATTTCAGTCAAAGACTGAACAAGAGAGAAGTGAGATCTTAATCTGACAACACAATGTGTATGCGGGCTGGAATGGCAAATCACTTGGAGAAGGGTGTGGGGGGCGGAGTTTCTTATAAATCAAGTTGGCCTCACACTTGCTTTGTAACCAAAGATGACCTCAAACACCTACCCTCCTGCTTTCACCTCCCAAGTGCCAGGATTACAAGCATGCACCAACATGCCTGGTTTATGTGGTAGTAGGGATGAAATCCAGGGCTTTGTGCTCGCTAAGCAAGCCTTTAGTTAACTGAGCTATATCCTAGGCCCCTGACACATCATTTTGGAAAGTCAAATTAAAAAACAAAACAACCCTTATTTTCTGTCTCCATTCCAACCTCTCTAGGCCTCTTCTTTCTTCTGTAGCAGCCTGCCTGCATGAGTCTCCCCACACACCTATGTTTTTGGTGTGGACCCTAGCCCCTAGTTCCTTCATGCTGTCCTTCTCAGCTATTCTTCCTACTCCACCTCCATTTCTCTGTGTGACTCTGAACCTACAGAAACACTCTCTGCCAGAGACTCCACTTGCCTAGGACCCAGAGTGGGCAACAGTGAATAAAGAATGGAACACCCACCCACCAAAAACACAGCCAGATATCTACACCAAAAAACACTTCAAGCACCTTAACTCCAGATGCTAAAATCTCAGCACTAAAACATGAACAGTCAGTATAACATGCCTCATCCAGAAGCCAGGAACCCTGCGGTAATCAGAGCTGAGAAAGGCAATCTAGCTGATGCACAAGACAAGGACTTCAAAAGACAATTATGAATTTGTTCAAGGACCTTCAAGAGAATATAAACAAATGCCTTAATGAAGACAGTGAAAATACAAACAGTTGAATGAAATAATGAAAGCATTTTAAGGCATGAAAGTAGAACTAGAATCACTAAAGGAAATCCAAACTAAAACCTCAGAAGTAAGCCCCACCAATAGATTACAAAACATGGAAGAGAGAATTTCACGTTTTGAAGGCAAGGTTGAAGAAATGGATAGCTCAGTCAAATAAAATGTTAAATCTTTAAAAAAATCCATGCTCAAAACTATACATGAAACCTGGGATGCTATGAAAAGACCATATCTGCAACAATAAGGTTAGAATAAAAAGAAGAAACTCAGGGGCTGGAAAGATGGCTCAGTGGGTAAGAGCACTGACTGCTCTTCTTAAGGGCCTGGGTCTCAGCACCTGCATGGTCCCTCACACCTGTCTGTAACTCCAGTTCCAGGGTTTCTGACACACACACATACATGAGGGCAAAACACCAATGAACATTAAGTACAAATAAATTATAAAAGAAAAAGAAACTCAAGTCAAAGGCACAGAAACTACTTTTAACAAAATCATGGATGAAAATTTCCCCAGTCTAAAGAAGGAGGTGCCTGTTAAGGCACAAGAAGCATACAGAACACCAAATACATAGGACTAGAAAAGAAATTCATACAGAACAAAGAAAGCATGTTAAAATCTGCAAGGGAAAAAGACCAAATCACATATAAAGACAAGGCCATTTGACAACACCTGACTTTTCAATGGAGACTCTAAAAGTCAGAAGGGCCTGCACAGATGTTTTTCAAACTCTGAAAGACCACAGATGCCAGTCAAATATCAATCACAACTGACAGAAAAAGATTCCACAGTGAAACTAAATTTAAGCAATCTACCAGTCAAGCTCTACAGAAGGCATTACAAGGAAAACTTGAGTCTGGAGAGGTTAACAACACTCAAAAAGGCACAATAATCCCAGACAGCAAATCACAAAGGGGGAAACCTCTATCCCAACAACAAAATAACAGGAATCAATAAATACTACTCATTAATAACTCAGTACTAATAGTCTCAATTTTCCAATAAAAAGACACAGATTAACAGACTGGATTAGAAAACAGGACCCATCTTTCCACTACATCCAAAAACCACATCTTACCATCAGGATGGACATCACCTCAGAATAAAAGCATAGAAAAGGATGTACTAAGCAAATGGACCTGAGAGGCAAGCAGGTATAGCCATTTTAATATCTGACAAAACAGATTTCAAGTCAAAACTAATCAGAAGTGATAGTGAAGGACACTATATACTCATTACAGGAAAAACCCACCAAGAGGATATTACAATTCTAAACATTTATGCCTCAACACAAGCATATTCAAGCTCATAAAAGAAACAGTTACAGCTACAATCCATATTAACCCTCACGTGTGATACTGGATGATTTTAGTAACCCCCTTAGTCCACTCTTGCCAACACACAGGTCATTCAGGCAAAAAAATAAATGGAGAAATCCTGGTGTTAAATTACATCACAAACCAAATGGACCCAGCAGACATCTATTGAAACACTAAAGAATATACTTTCTTCTCAGCAGCTCATGGAAATCTCTTCAAAATTGACCACATACACAGACAAAAAACAGGTTTTAGCAAATATAAGAAAATTGAAATAACACCCTGCAGTCTATCTAACCACCCTGGATTAAAGCTGGTCTACTCTTTCAAATATACCCATTCAAATACAGAACTTGAAGTTCTAACTAGAACAATAAGACAACTAAGGGAGAACAAGGGGATACAAATAGTTAAGGAAGAAGTCCAAGTATTTTATTTATTTTATTTTTCTCTATATAGAAACCTTAATAATCCACAAGGAAAATTTTATAGTTAATAAACCTTTTTTTTTTGCATAGTAGTAGGATACCAAATTTACACAAAATCCAGTATCTTTCCTATGAACAAATGATAACCAACCGAAAAAGAAATCAGGGAAACAGTACCTTTCAAACAGTCTCAAAAATAAATAAAATATCTTGGGACAACTCTAACCCAGCTAGTCCCGTGAGCTGTGACTCAGCCCTAGGGAATGAACAAAGGATGGAGTTTCTGAGCCAGGGCATCTCAATGTAAGACAACAGACAGAGCATGAGGAACAGTGGTTATCACTAAAGTTTCTAATTTTATTTTTAGAAGATGTGGAAAGGATAGATAAAACTGTTTTACCTGTTCATTTCCTTGATCAAGCTGTAAATCTTGAAGTGTCCTTTCCAATTTTGACTTCTCATCCAAAGCATTTGTAGCCTATAATCAAATGTAACCAGGATACACTCACTCAACTTTTCTCTCGAGGTTAATTCTTCAATAAGTATTGGAGGATTTCTCAGTTACCTGTATTTCAATGGTCTTCAGCCTTGACTTTAATTTTTCATTCTCTTGTTGAAGTCTTAAAATTTCCTTTGTGAGTAAATTCAAATATTATTATTTTAAAGATTTATTTTGACTTTATCCACGAGTGTTTTGCTTACATGTATATGTGTATACAATGTGCGTGTCAGTGGAAACCAGATGAGGGCATCAGATACCCTGGAAAAGGACTTATGTGTGGCCTTGAGTTACCACAAGGGTGGTGGGAACTGAGCCTAGGTTCTCTACAAGAGAAGCAAGTGCTCTGAACCACTGGGCCCTTTCTCCAGCCCCCAAATTTTATTATTTTAACCAAAATATGTTTACCACTTGGAATGATCACTGCTTGTTTCACTTAAAAAGTAATCAAAATTATACAATGGCTCAAAAATTCAAATGCCCTGGTTAGGAGTAAAATCATGTTTTCGTAAAGCCTGCCCAAGCCCACAGCTGTGAATCAAGTTCAGCTTACAACTCACAGCTGCCTTTCCCTCAGAAACACCTCTTCTTCTCCTGTTCTCTGTTTTCAGCCATTCTCCTTTCTTATCTAGCTTTCTGATTCTGCAACTTGGGCCTGTTCTTTGTCACACTGCTGCCACTTAGCCCTGAAATCACACTACCTTCATCATTTTAGTGCCCAGTACTCCAGCTTCTGCATGGCTCTGAGGGGAGGGAGGCCAAACAGTTCTGATATAAGATGTACCTCCCTGACCAGTCTGATTTTGCATTTTACTCCGATATAATGCTGGACTGCTCAGAAGACCCTGTGCTCGGTTATTCTGAGTCATGCCAACCTTCTGTCTGCCTCTGGCCAGTAGCCATTCTGCTCCCTTGCCAATCAAGCCCCCTTTAACTTAACCTGTGTTTATCTTTAAGACCCAGCTTGGAGGCTGTCTCATTCAAACGCCTATTCTTATCTCCTCACATCCACACAGAACTATACTACCCACAGAACCGTTTAGGTCTCTCATTTCTGCTTCTGGAAATGTCAGTTCCTACTTCCCAATGAAATGATAACAGTTTTGAGAGTGTGCAGGTGCTTTTTTAAGTACAACAAAATCTGACATGCGTAATGCCGAGAATATGGGAGTTGAGAAAAATTTATTTTTACACTAATAACTTCTATAAGCATTAAAAAACCATACATTTTTGTGGATCACAAGTTTCAAATGCATGCCAGAACAACATAGTACAAAATTCCCTGCCCTACACTTTACTGAGAAAAGATCTATTGGTCACTTCAGACTCTACAAAGCAAGTATGCCCTCTTCTGGACATTGGGTTTCATTCAGTAAAACCGTGACAAGACTATTTCTCTTACCCTAGCACTGTACAGGAATTGGGGGTGCAAGGGGCAGAACCATGGCTCTCCCATTTCTCAAAATGATGAGACTATTACCTTGTTTAGAAGTTCTGTTGTTCCACCTTCATTAATTGGAATAAGTTTAGGCTTTGTGATGTCTATGATGGGCTGTAACAAAAAGAAGAAACCAATCTAAAATCACCACAGAGTAAAGCAAGAATCATTAAACATTTGCAGTTTCTAAATGGAAGATATAATCCATAAACAACCCACCAAGCCTTCAGCTCCACAGATAGAACGGTTCTGGGTGGTTTCATTCTGTTATGTCCAGTGCCTATGATGTGCCCTATGAAGCTCAATAATGATAGAAAAAAAAATGAAACCCAGCCAGGCATCGTGGTGCACACCTTTAATTCCAGCACTCGAGAGGCAGAAGCAGGAGGATCTCTGTAAGTTTGAGGCCAGCCTGATCAACAAAACAAGTTCCAGGACAGTTGGGGCTGTTACACAGAGAAGCCCTGTCTTCAAAACCCAGAAACAAAAAACAACAAAACAAAAAACAAACAAGCAACCCTGCCCCCGTCCCTGCCCAAAGAAACCCAGCCTCCCTGTACCTTTTTATTAATACAGATGGAAAGTAGGGAGACAAGGAGCTCATAGCCAGACTTGATAAAAATATCTAGCCTCTAGGACTGTGGTAGATTTTCATCTGTGGTAGCTTAAAATAATTTCTATATGAACCTTATACCACGAAGCTGTAATGATTGAGGAATTATAAATGACCACAAATATTTGGGTATTTTAGTAGCCCTCTGACCCCAAAATTCCTTAGTCAAAAATACGTTCCAAAAAGTTATTAGAAAATGTTTTCTATGTCTCTATACATGGATTCATCTCAGTAGTGTTTAGCTGTCTGACAAGAGGAACTATTTATGATTTATGGTGTACCTAGTAAGGGATACCACAGCACATAATTGCTTAGAAAGACAACCAGTCTGTCTCCACCTGCTGTCTTGTAATCTGCCTATAGCACACAGTGAAGAAGCAGAGTCAGGATTTAATCACAGGGGTGACCACCATAAAGTATATGCTCTGCATCAGCTGAATGAAGGGTTTACAAGACCTGGGATTCAGGCTGGACTGTAGGAATTGTGGAGACACAGAACTGGCTTAGAGGGCAGGCTCCTCCTGGGACAGATGAGACTAAGTTGGGAAATGGTTGCTTGGCAAACCAAGCATAGATGAAAGCAAACTTTCTCTGCCCATTTCTCAAACGTTCTGTCAGAATCTGTACCCTGGATAAGGAAGTGGCCTTTGAGCTCAGTTCTTCATGCTCTACCAGATATAAATTAAAGAAGTACTTTGCTTCTGTATACTTTTGCCTTGTTTCTATGTACTTCTTTTCATTTTTATTACTTTTATTGAGATATTATTTCTTGCAAGGTGAGGTAAGTTTCTCATGATCATGTATGTGAGTAAGGGGGTTTCAGAGTTGAGGTAATGCTTTTTAGTCTGTATAACTAAAGCGGTCACTTGATATAGTCTTCAATCTCATTATGTTAAAGAAATGCTCAATGACATGGTCAGACATTATGGAAACTGGGTTACAGAAGACTGGAAGGTAGTCTGTTGTTCCTTGCTGAAGGAACCTGAATATTTGCAATGGCAAATGTGGTTTTCTGACCTTTGTGCTGAGAAAGTTCGAACTAATGCAGCCAGCAACAATCCTGTGCTAAGGGAAGCTTCTTTCCTATGTTAACAGGCACAGGACCTTGTGATGACCCTAATCAGCAGGCTAATACCCCAGCTGAAACACATGACCAGCTGAGAGAAATGGGCATGGAAGCATGGGAGCGTCTTCGCCCCATGGGGAAGAAGTATGGTTCTTGGAATAAAGTTATCCAGAAACCTGACGAGCCTGATGCTGAACTCCTGGCTAGACTAAACAAACAGCAGAAAGACTGTAATTGGAGAAGAGGCAGAATCAACTTCTTAGAATGCTAGCGTATGAGAACACCGGTGAGGACTGTAAACGAGCTATGCTACTGGCAAGAGAACCAGGAGATATCAATAGTTATATGAAAGCATGCAAAGACATTTTATCTGAATGTAGAAAAATGCAATTATTTGCTGAAACTATGGCCACCGCTTATCATAATTTGCAAATGGGGAATAAAAATTCTAAAGATTTAAAATGCTTTGGATGTGGTGCAAACAGGTCACCTTAAAATAAAATTGTAGACAAGAGAAAAAAGTGCTTATTGGACAGAATCTAAGTACTAGGTAGAATTTATAGATTATTCTTCAGCACAACAAAATGAACTATATGCTGTTATTAAAGCCCTTCAAGATTTTCCTCAAGAACTAAATATTGTAGCCTATTAGGCCTATTTTGTAGGAATTGTACAACATATTTTTAATGCTGCACTTCATTCCACTAAGTATTCTTTGTTAACTTTGTTTAAATTATTACCACAGTTTTATTACCCATGTACGATCACATGCAAATTTGCCTGGATATCTTACATTTGGAAATGCTCAAGTGGATAAATTAATAGCTTTTTCCTCTGCTCAAGAAGAACATGAACACTTACATACTAATGCTAATCATCTACATGTCCAATATAAAATTCCATTTTGATAAGCTAAACAAATTATTTTAAATTGTCAATTTGTCGTCCGTTAGATATATGTTCTATTCCTCAGGGGTTAATCCTCGAGGATCTCAATCAAATAAAATTTGGCAAGTGAATGTTACCCATACTCCAGAATTTGGATGATTATATTTCCTCCATGTGACCACAGATACTTTCTCAGCATTTATATGGGCTACCCCTTTGGCTGGAAAATGCAAAAATCATGTTATACAGCATTTATTAGAAGTATTTTCCATCATGGGTGTTCCCTCTCTTATTTAAACAGATAATGGACCACCTGCTTATTCTTTTAAAAAATTTGGTAAGTTCTTCTGTGAATGGTAAAATATTGCTCATGTAACAGGTATTGAATATAAACCACAAGGTCGAGCTGTTGTTGAATGTGCCCATTATACCTTGAAACAACAAATCAAAAAATTAAAAAGGAGGAAAAAGGAAGATTATGGTATGGAATTAATGTGGGATTTTCAGAATAATGTGAGAGCCAGTTTACATCAAGCGTTGTTTATATAAAATTTACTTAATATGCCTCATGTGCATATTTTAACCAGCAAAGAAACGTTTCATAAACACCTGGAATGCTGAACTGACAGAAAAAAATTGGGCCAAAACTGCCATAGATGCTGAATGGTAGCCTGCATTGCTAATGGTGAAAGGGAGAGGACATGGTCTTGTCTCTCTGCAGGATAGGTGACAATTACGGCTCCCCGGCCACTGGATCAGGGCTTGGAAAGGAGCAGAAGCTGAAGACAGGAGTGTGACGTCGTCATGATGGCCCTCCGGTCAAAGAAGACATTGCAGTACTGGCCATAGCACGATTATCTCTAGGGAAGTGACCTCGACGACATCAGTCTTCACCTCATCAACATGGGGTCAGGTGAAATCTCTTGCAGCCCAGGGTCAGATTATTGCCCAGCAGTCCGGAAGACCGGTTACAGCTGAACATCTCTTTAGAAGGAGATGCGTACTCTGCTATCTGTCTCTTCAGTTCAGGGATCAGCTGTAAGTTATTGGGCTTATGTCCCTAACCCACCAATGTTTGAGCCTGCTTTTGGGGAGATACTGATGTGTTAGTGTATACCACTCCCAGTATCCTCTCTCCTCCTTGGAATAACTTACTTATCTGAATAATTTTGATAGGACTCCATATAATTTTACTTATGCTTTAAAAATGGTCCTTGTTTTTCAATGGATTTCAGCATTGGTTACAACCTGGTATTAAAATTGGCAGATCTCGTACCCATCTTCAAAGATGTTCAGCATGGTCCATTAATCAGACCTGGGACAATATTATTAAAATTATGAATTAGCATATCCTATATGTCCAGATTTTACATATTATGGTTTAAAATATCAGCCATTTATTTGGAAGACTTGTTTGGGCAAATTTGGCAAAATAATTCAAACTAAATGGATTAATTGGGGCCTATATGGTCAATTTATTAACACTTGTTCTGAATGGAATATTACCACTTATGATTTGCGTAATGTTACCAGGATGAATCGGGCAGAGAATGAAGCGATAACTGAAAGCCATCTCCTGGCATGGGGAGATGAAGAAATCAAGGATAATTGCATTGCCTTAATCATAGCCCCTACTGCAATTCAAATGCATATTTGGAAGATCATAGCTGCCTTAAAACCTGTTCAACTTTTTAATGGCTCATTTGTTGGAACAGCAGTATCTGCTTCTACTTATAAATTTATCTTGTTTAGAAGTACTAATGTTACTGCTTGTGTGCCACTACCACATGTATTTTTAGTTGGAAGAATCAATTTTACAACTGGAACTAGTTGTTATGATTGTCAACTGTATTCATGTATTAATTCCTGTGTTAAGTTTAATCGTCATAATCAATCACTTATGATATTACAGCAGTGTACGCATATTTGGCTGCCTGTAAACTTGGGTTGTTCTTGTGCTACTGCTTCTGTGGCTGGTATTGCTTTATATACATCCTTGCAGACAAAATACTTTGTAGAGCAATGGCATAAAGATTCTCATGAACTCTGGATACAGCAAGCTCAAATAGATGCTCAACTTCAGACAGAGATTGATGTACTTAAGCAAACTGTGGATGGTTGGGAAAGAAATATTTATCTTTGCAAGAACAAATTACCTTGTGTTGTGATTGGAATTCAACCACTTTTTGCATTACTGATTTGGCTTATAATGATTCTTTATACGAATGGAAGGTTATTGAAGCTTATCTTTTAGGCAATGCCTCTGCTCGATCTCTCATTGATCACTTACATGATAATATAGGATTTACTTTTGCTAAATCATTTCCTGATTCGGATGCCTCCACCACTGCACAAATTTTTGCTGATAAATTGACAGGATTAGATCCTAAGGGATCTTTACAAAGTATTCTCCACACCTCCAGTGGTGTGCTTATTGTAATCATTCTTATGCCTCTTTTATTCTTGATTATGTATCAGTTTTTTATTTGACCAAATGCAGAAAATTTACATACCTTAAGGTTGAAACTCCTTTTAGCTTCAAATAAAAATTTAAAAAAAGAAACTGTGGAGACACAGAACTGGCTTAGAGGGCAGGCTCCTCCTGCGACAGATGAGATGAAGTTGGGAAACGGGTGCTTGGCAAACCAAGCATAGATGAAAGCAAACTTTCTCTGCCCATTTCTCAAACGTTCTGTCAGAATCTGTACCCTGGATAAGGAAGTGGCCTTTGAGCTCAGTTCTTCACGCTCTACCAGTTACAAAGGAGTGCTTTGCTTCTGTATACTTTTTGCCTTGTTTCTATGTACTTCTCTTTATTTTTATTACTGTTATTTATTGAGATATTGTTTCTTGCAAGGTGAGGTAAGAGTTTCTCATGATCATGTACGTGAGTAAAGGGGGGGGGGTTTAGTCTATATAAAAAGCCATACAAAATAAAGCTTGTTATGCAGTTGTTCATACTCTGCATCCCCTGTGTCCTGATTTGCACAAGACCCTTACCTGGGGACCCCTGAGAACATAAGTTTGGATTCTTAATACCCCCATAAAAAACCAGGTAAGCATGGTGACCTACCTGTAATCTCTGGACTCATAGCAGTAGGCAGAGACAAGGGATTCCTAGGGAAAGCTGATTTGCTGATAAATTGGTGACCTCTAAGTTCAGTAAAATTTTCTGCCTCAGTAAAAGTAGAAAGTGACCAAAGAAGTCATTTCATCAATATCTGGCCTCCATATGCAAGCACAAACATATGCACAGGCAGCTGTACACATGTGCAACTATATACACACAAGCAGGCAAGCACACTTACACACAACCATGCATGCAAAAGTAAGTAAGGATTTAGAAATTATAAAAATTACCTTTTTATTTGAAGATGTAAATTCTGCCTTTTCAAATTCAGCCACTTGTTCTAATAATTCTCTGAAGAATAAAAGCAAATTTAAGAGAATATTCATTGACAATAGACTTCACAAGAACCAGCCTATCACATGCTTGTAAGAGAAGCATAAGACTGTATAAAACTGATATTTATTTACTAATGGTAATTTATACCACTGTAAGCAAATCTGAATCATCTGCAACTCTTGGTACTTTGTACTTGGTCGGTACATGATATATGTAGTAATACATAAAGAGCAGTGCCAATACATATATGAATGACAATTCTACGTCTCTGTACTTCTGAGGTACTGCATGATTTCCCGATTGCACAATATTAACTGTTACTGGGAAAGAGTCTGATTTGTACTACAGTTGTCTTGGATATGAAATTAGTTCACAGCATCTACTGGGCAAGAATACTGGCATATTCCATGGAAATAAAGGTGGTGTGAACAAGCCCCCAATGATCTACCATGATAGATGTGCTGTCTCAGAGACCACTCTCCTGTCTTCTTCAAACATCAACACTCGGCATTTTCTCATCAGTCACTGGCAGTGGCAGAAGCCAAGTGAGTTTCCATCCTTGCTTGGCGACTGTCCTTAGCATTTGCTCACCATTTTCCACTTGAGGAGAGATTGTTTGGAGAACAATTTGCAGGGCTTGGCAGTCGAGTCTTCCTTGACTTCTGGCATATATATATATATATATTTGTTTTGTTTTGTTTTTGAAACAGGGTCTTCCTGTATAGCCCTAGCAGTCTTGAACTCACAGAGGTTGCCTGCCTCTGCCTCTCAAGTGTTGAAATTAAAGGTGTGAACCACGATGCCCAACTGGCATGCAGTTTCTCAAGACAAGTTTTAACTTCACTGATCTCACTAGAGGTTTCTGAATTTATGAGCTTTTCAATATTGTAAAACTTTTTTAAAAAAGCCTTTTTTAGTTTACCTTTCCTAAGGTATGATTTCAAATGCAGTTATCTAGAAATGAATTTGCAATGCTGTAGTCTGAATAAAGGAAACGATACTCAAAATACATTTTCAACAGTTCCAATCTTTACTTCTGTGTACAAGACCACTGTAATACTAATTATGCTACCTACCAAAAATGCTGTAAGGAATCATTACTTTAAATAGATTGAAAAGCAGTTTTATGTAGCTCAAATGCTTTTTTAGTACCTAAGAATGGTACTAAATGGAAACAGTATCTTTTTCTTTTCTTTTCTTTTCAGTTTTTAGAGACAGGGTTTCTCTGTTTAACAGCACTGGCTGTCCTGGAGCTAGCTCTTATAGACCAGGCTCTTATAGATCAAACTTGCAGAGATGCGCCCATCTCTGCCTCCCGTGTGCTGGGAAGGTGTGTGCCACTACCGCCTGGCCAAGGAATCAGAATTTCTTTAAGAGGGCTCTGAGTGCTGCTCAAGGGACCATCTAGGGACCATCTAATGGCTGTGCTTTACTGCCACTCCACCCACACTGTCTCACACCTCAGCCCAAGGAAAGCACTAGCAAAGATAATTGCTAACTTTTAAGATCATGCTTGGGTCTCTATATCTCAACTCTAGGTACAAATTTTACCTGTTTTCAAGTTCAGAGATGTCTGTCTGTAGCTTTAGGTACCATTTCTCAGCTTGTGAGAACAGCTGCCGTAGGAGAAGCACATTGGTGTAAGCTGTGTTGATGAGCTCAGACTCCACCTCACTGTGTACCACAGCCTGCAGTCCACTCAGGATTTCTGTGACCTCATCCACGGTGTACGTCTCCTCTACCAGTCTGAAAACAGTTAAGACTCCAATGGCTAACTAATCACAGGAGCGGTGTACAAAATACAACTGAAATCAGAAACCCACATCAGGACATTTAAACAATAAAAGATTATAGGAAAACCTTTCTGGGAGAGATTTATTAAAATGATTAGATTGTGGATAATTCTTCAAATGTATTCACTTTAAAATACAACTACATGCTGAGAAACACCCCCTAAACCTTCATCTATTTTCATTACTATTATTTTTTACTTTATACTCCTCTAAATTACTATTATCACATTTAGAAACTTAAAAAGCCACCTGGGGGCTGGAGAGCTGGCTCAGCGTTTAAGAGCACTGGCTGCTGCTCTTCCAGAGGACCTGAGTTCAATTCCCAGCAACCACATGGTGGCTCACAACCATCTGTAATAAGATCTAGTGCGCTCCACTGGCCTGCAGGCACACATGCGGGCAGAACACTGTATCCATAATAAATAAACAAATCTTTTTTTTAAATAGTCATTTTCCATTTAAATTTCCATTTTCTGTCAGTTCTCTAGCATTTAGTAACAGTGTGAATCACTTAAATGTTAGTAAATGCCTAGGAGACACAAACCAAAGTTGTATATTAAATTTTCTTAGCAGTTTAGGGACGCAAAATGAAATTAAATCTAACATCTTTTTTTTCTTTTTTTTTCTTTTTTTTTTTGTTTTTTTGAGACAGGGTTTCTCTGTGGCTTTGGAGCCTGTCCTGGAACTAGCTCTTGTAGACCAGGCTGGTCTCGAACTCACAGAGATCCACCTGCCTCTGCCTCCCGAGTGCTGGGATTAAAGGCGTGCGCCACCACCGCCCGGCTAAATCTAACATCTTAAAGTATTACTATGACACCACAAAAAATTAATGTCTCCATCAACAGCAGCATTAAAATCTACTTTCATTGGAGATACTTGGGTTGGAAAGGAATTTCAGGGAATGAGCCATCATCTTCAATCCCCTAACTGTACAGACCTTAGGGGGTGGAAGAGACTTGCCTGTGGGTCCACTGTGGGTGACCACACCCCACAATTACAGCAACATGACCAAGAGTTGGAGTCCTTAGCACACCTGCACACTCCTACTCCCAATGACACCCACAGTAACCTAATTTTTGCCACTCCCAGCTTTGCTCCTCCAGTCTCTCCCTCAGACAATTAGCTCACCTTTGTCCTTTTCCTTCCTTCCAAACACACAAAATAAAGCAAGGGTCAGTTATATTTAGTCTTAGTATAACTATGCTCAAACTGATAATAAACAAAGCACTATATTTCACTAAGTAGTTCAATGTATAATTATCTATTATCATTTAACCAGAAGAATACAGCCATTTTAAAGAACATAATACTTTAATTTCATAGTCTTTATTAAAATATTAGTGTTTTCTATATTCTTTAATAGACTATATTTTTGCCAGTTATATTGTTTTCATTCACTGGAACTAATAAACCAAATCGTCAGATTAGGTTAGTTAGTTGAACAGAAACTGGTCCAAGGCTGATGACTCCCACAGTAGCTAGAGTCAACCCAGTGGCCTTTTCTTCTTACATCGGACTTGACATTAAACATTTACTTTTCATTGTTGGGCCAGCGAACTTACCAACTTTTGCTTCAAATCAGCTAACAATCGGTACTATCAAGTAAGTGTTTCATGCTATTTTTTCCTCTCCTAATTCTTCTAAATGAACAGCACAGGTTCATAACTGCCATGTCATATGGCTTTGCTCTTTTAAGAAATCACTTAAGAAATTAAAGTTATGAAAGATTTAATACATATGTCCTTCACAGTGTTTATCTGAAACTTTCCAGTATACAACAATTACCATGTACATGTCTGACAAGATACTATTACTGTTACCCCACAACTATTTAATTTCCCAAATCCATGGAACATAGTGGAGTTTCTCTCAGTCACTGCTGTGGTTTCTGTACTAGCAACCCCATGCTAGCTACCACAAAGAATCCATGTTTTTCTCTGATTTCCTAATCAGAGTTTAACTTTATTCACTCAGGACCCCCCCCCTTTTTTTTTTGAGAAATTTTCACATGACCAGGTATATAAAGTAAGTACACAGATTTACTAATTAAAAATCATAAAGTGTTTTTCTTAAAACAAACCAGGTGTGGTGGCACATGCCTTTAATCCCAGCACTTGGGGAGACAAAGGCAGAACTCTGTGAGTTTGAGGCCGGCCTGATCTACAAAGTGAGTTTCAAGACAGCCAGGGCTGTTATACTGAGAAACCCTGTCTTGAAAAGCTGAAAAAAAGATTTTTTTTCTTAAAACAATTCTTTGGTATACATAAAATTTGCCATTTACTAAAGCTGAAAGCAATTTTTCATATAATGAAATGAATGTGTTTATTTTTATAGTATTTATGTGCTTATTTGAGTATTTGATAATAAAGGACAGAGCATACCTTCAACATTTTTTCAGAGTTGATTGATAATTTGATTTTACAACCATCAATGTTGAGAAAGCTGCTTGATGGAGGTGGGTATTGTAATAATAAAGAAACTGCCTCGGCCCTCATAGGACAGAAAATTAGGTAGGCAGAGTAGACAGAAGAGAATTCTGGGAGAAAGAAGTTTAGTGAGAGGAGTCGCCATGGTTCTCCCGCTCCAGACAGACGCAGGTTAAGATCCTCCCTGGTAAGCCAGCTCGTGGGCTACACAGAATATTAGAAATGGGTTAGAACAATATGTAAGAGCTAGCCATAAGGAACTGGAACTATCCGGGCCAGGCAGTGTTTGAAAGAATACAGTTTCCGTGTAATTATTTCTGGGCATAAGCTAGCCATGCGGGCGGCCGGGTGCCGGGGACGCCGCCCTGCCGCTCCTATTTCAACAGATGGCGCCCAACGTGGGGCTCGAACCCACGACCCTGGGATTAAGAGTCTCATGCTAGCCGGGCCAGGCAGTGTTTGAAAGAATACAGTTTCCGTGTAATTATT